ATTCCACACCCATCAGAAAACACATGGTGCCCCAGCTGCAACACTTTATGCCTGAGGTTTCCACAGGCACTGGATACTTCCACATTGTCTGAGTTACATTTATTTTGTTTTCAGATTCTCCAGTACATATCACTCAACAGAGCTAATGTTTGCAGGATTTGGTTGCAGTGATTTCCCTGATAAGGTGGCAGGTTTCACCATCCATGCATTTATTTACTTACTTGATACATTTATTGAGTCCTTGTTATCAAAGAATACAAAGAAGAATAAGATACAATCCATGACTCAGGACCATCCCAGTGAGTTGGGAAGACAAACAGGTGGTTACAAAGCATTGTGGTTATTGCTGTGATTCAGTTAATGTGGAGGAGGGGCAGTGGAAGAGAGGGGTTTCAGTGGAAAGGGCCCTAATAGAATGTTAGGGAGATAAGGAAAGACGGAACTTTTTCTGAGTCACAGGTGGGGAAAATGGGGCGTGTATCTACCTGACTTGGAGACTTTGGGGATTAAGTTCCAGAGCTGGCAAAGTCAAAGGTAAGATGTAATGTGGGAAAACAAAGAAGCATTCGCCAGGTAAAAAGCAATGGGAGTGGGCACAGGGAAGAAGATGACAAATAATGAGGCTGCAAGTTCTGGAGGCAGGAAAGAGCCTTGTTCAGAGGAGCAGCAAGAAATCCAGTATGGGTGCAGATGAATGAGGTGTCGAAACCGAGGCTAGAAGGACCAGATTCTGAAGCACCTTTGGACCCTATTCAAAGAGTCTGGATTTTATCTGATAGAAACAAGGAACCATTGAAGGTTCTGCTGAGAGGCTTGGCAGGGTCAGACTAAGAATGATCCCCTTGGCTGCAGCCTGGGGGCTGGAAAATGAGTGCAGTGGCTTGAGCCCTGGCCACCCAGGAGATAGTAAGTCCACCGGCCCACCCCTTCCACCCCCCACCCCCACCCCTATGCATTCCATTGTCTTCCCATTCTCCTCTGGTATCACTGTCTTCTGCAAGTTTCACAATGGCCTCTCTTCAGATCCCTCCTTCCTACCATCCTGAGGATTTTAAGCACTCAAGATGATATAATCAAACCTCAACTGAGCAAACTCTCTCAAACAGTAAGTGATGACATAGAATGCTACATGGGAAATACTTGGCCTGGCAACATCAAAGGGAAGCATCTCCCTGCATACCAAGGAAGGACTTGGAAGCGGTGGGCAGAGCTGACAGGGCAGCAAGAAGTTGAGTAGTTGACTTTGGCCTCAGCATTTTCCTGTCTGGTATTCTTTCTAGTCTCAGCATATTTTAGATTTAGGATTTTTTTAATAGTGCATCTTCTG